AAATATATTTTATTGATTTTTTTACCGAGAGGAAGAGAGAGGGATAGAGAGTTAGAAACATCGATGAGAGAGAATCACCGATCAGCTGCCTCTTACACACCCCCTATTGGGGATGTGCCCGCAACCAAGGTACATGCCCTTGACCGGAATCAAACCTGGGACCTTTCAGTCCACAGGTCGACGCTCTATCCACTGAGCCAAACCGGTTTCGGCTGTTTTTGTTGGTAAAAATTGTAGAATATTATATGCAATCTTTAAAGTCTAATTATCACCGAAAGTCTCATGTGGCCTTCTGGTTATATGTTCAAATATAATTTTTTCTGTTTAGGGACCTTGGACGTTGTCAACTGAAAAAAAAAATTACTATGGAATTCTGTTTTTATAATAAAAAATTACACTAATGTAAACTTTTTTTGTGTTCTGAATGAAGATTTAAGAGATCTTAACATACTTATTTATAAACTATACCAATATATGGTTGAGTTTAATTATTCCCCAACTCAATAACTGAAACACTTTTGAAGATTTGACAAAAGACCAAAAGTACTGTCTAAGATAATACTGCACTAACTTAGAAATATATAGCATGCTGAAATTACACTGTGTTAAGTGTGCAAGAATGGTTGGCCTAAGCTGCAATATAGCTATTATTTTTTCTATAGAGGGTTGTCATTTTAATGGAATAATTCTTGTATTTTAAGAAAAGCACACATTCTGACCATATAGGAAACTCTACCAATAGTGTGCAACTCTGGTGTCCTTTTTTCTTCTGGACAGAATCTGTTCTTAGCTGTAAATCATAAACAAACACTACAGGAATACTTGTGGAAAATTTTTTTAAAGAGGCACAAGTCAAAGGATGACTCACATGATTCGGAGTAAAACTGGGGATTGTTGATTGAATTACTGACCTTGCTAAGGTCATGCTAGCTCTGATTTTTATGTTGTTATTTTGACAGATCCAGGTTGATGAAGTCAGAAAGCTGGTATATTTTGAAGGCACCAAAGATTCTCCTTTAGAACATCACCTGTACGTGGTCAGTTATGTAAATCCTGGAGAAGTGACAAGGCTGACCGACCGTGGCTATTCCCACTCTTGCTGCATCAGCCGGGTATTAATCTCTGTTTGAAAAGGGTTTCCTGTCATAGAAAAAAAACCTCTATTCATATATTACTCCTTTTGCATAATATGCAAATTGGCCTGCAGAAGTCTGATTTCTTGGGGAAAACTTTGGAAAGTTTAACATTAACTTCAGCTTTGTGTATGTACATGAATGCTCAGACTCTCATACTCCTCCTGTGGCATCAGAACAGATGTAGTAGCAGATAACCTTTGTTACTGTTCCCTGGGGGAAACGTAACTGTTTCTTCTTTCTCTAGCATTGTGACTTCTTTATAAGTAAGTACAGTAACCAGAAGAATCCACACTCTGTGTCCCTTTACAAGCTGTCAAGTCCTGAAGATGACCCAACTTGCAAAACAAAGGAATTTTGGGCCACCATTTTGGATTCAGCAGGTACTCATTACCCTAAATCTGATCTTAAGTAGGATTAACACATTAATTATTATAGGCAATCCAAAACCTGTGTGATATGCCCACATTTCCTGGACACAGTCTTCCCATCTCTCACTACCACCTCCTCCCATTTCTGATTGATCCTACCCCTCCTATTCTGATAACTACCAAGTAATATAGGCTACCTCCCACTCGAGACAGGAATAGGTCTGGAAGGCCTTTTTTTTTTTTTTTTTTTTTTTTTTTTAATTTTATTGATTTCAGAGAGGAAGGGAAAAAAAGAGAAACATCAATGATGAGAGAAAATCATTGATCGGCTGCCTTCCGCACCCCCCCACTGATTGAGCCAAAACCCAGGCATATGTCCTTGACCAAAATCGAACCTGAGACCCGATGCTCTATCCACTGATCCAAACCAGCTGGGGCTGGAAGGCCTTTTTGAAAATAGGATTAAAGTAGTCAATATATCAGCTAGGAAACCATTTATTTACACATTTGGATGATTTTCTAGATAAACAAATGAGCTTGAAGATAATGATACCCTGAACTAGTAATACTCTTTGAGCAGTGAAGCTATAGTTTTAGGGAATAACCAGCCAGTAACTTTCTTAAACTTTTAAAGCAATTGGAATGGCCATAAAAGAACTTCTTTTCTGTATGGAAGTCAAGAGCATGGTTAATTATTATTTTTTAAATGTTTTCTTAAAAAAATGTACTAATTTTATCTTTAAATCCAATTAAATATTTTCATGCATTAATATTTGCTAAGGGATTAAGAATTAGTATTATCACAAAATGTAAGTATGTTCTAATGTGCACATTAGAATTTTTAATATAGTGATGATTCTGCTTAAACTGTAACGTCATCCAGTACACACACAGACTTAGAATAGGTCTGTAAACCAAAGACTGATGATCATGACATTTTTTCTGGCTTCTGGTTAGGCTTATTCTGTAATTACCAGAAACAAATGTTTATTGAGCACCTGCCTTGAACAAGTTATAATGACTAAGTTAAATTTATGCTTCCAGTTTCTAACTAGATATATTTATTAACCATCAATAAGTTACATCGAACTGAGCACAAAATATTTGTATAGTTCTGCATATAATTACCTCCTATGTTCCAAGGATTATTCAGAATACTGTGTGTTTATTTCTGAAATAGTTTGAAATGTTCATTATGTTTTCTTTTGTAAAGATAATAATTTGCTTATCACGTGGAAGGGGGATGGTCAGTTATTTGTGTGTGGGGGGGGGGGTTATTTTTAACTTGCTATCATATTGTAGAGCTTCTATAACAACTTCTCTTACAGGCTCGGTATGTTATTTCCTTGCAGGTCCTCTTCCTGACTATACCCCTCCAGAAATTTTCTCTTTTGAAAGTACTACTGGATTTACATTGTATGGAATGCTTTACAAACCTCATGATTTACAACCTGGAAAGAAATACCCCACTGTGCTGTTCATTTATGGTGGTCCTCAGGTGGGTATATTTTATTACATATATCGATATATATAATTGTTAAGTGTGTTTTACATACAAACATAGTCACATTTGTATTACAGCTATCTACACATTAATCATGAAAATGTTAAATTAAACTTTTGTTTAATTTAAAAAACTTAAAGGCAAATCTTTATAAACTTTAAAAAAAGGTTTAATACAAAGAAGCTCAAAAGAGAAATTATAGAACACCCTAAGAAGCTTTATATATATTTTGTTATATTATTTTGATGTTAAAGCTAAGTTTTTCCTTTCCAGTGAAGAAATGATATGTGAAATATGTGAAAAACACAGTATAAAAACTATCTGGTTATCTGGATTTTTAACACTAACAGATAACCTCATATTAGTAATTAGTAATAGAAATCAATTATTTAAGTTAAGATTTGAGCATTTTTGGGCCTCTGCTATTAATGACTCTGGTTTATGATCTAATTACCCAGTTTAGGAGTTTAGGAAGCTGGCTAATTTGTAAATCATTGTCAACTTCTTAATTTACAATATGAACTGTAACTATTGTGGGAAATAAAATATTCATTTCAGTAGGAAAATATGTTGTTTTCTATTTAAAGAAATTTTGGGAAGTGAAATTAATTAAATTTCTTGGTAAATAAAAAGTTTTAACTGCTATTTTTAGAAAGCTTAGAATGAAGAGCAGAAATTCCTCAGGCTACCATGGCTTTCCCTGTGCACGCCTCTGTACCTTTGCACTTTACTTCCGCAGCTCCTCTGAGTCTCAGTATGCTTTTCTCTTTCCTTATAGTTGTAGAATTTCCACTTAGCCAGCCTTCCTGTGGTTCTGGATGATGTCTATTTTGTCTTTTAGTTGTAGCTTTGAAGTGGTTGTGCGAGGCAGCAAATTCATGTTTACCTATGCCGCCATGTTGATTTCTCCTCGATTCTTATTTATTTTAATTGATTTTTTAGAAAGAGAGAAGCATCAATTTGTTGTTCCACTTGTTTATGCATTCATTGTTTGATTCTTGTAGGTCCTCTGACCAGGGATCAAAACTGAAACCTTGGCATATGGGGACAATACTCAGTCAGGGCCAATATCGGTTCTTGTTTAACTCCTGACTGAGTTGGTTATCTTTTGGTATCAGCCAGAGAAAACTTCTTTCTCATTTGCCAGAACTTTGTTGTTTAATATCTATCTAGTGTCCAACGAACCTTGAACTTCTGTAACTTTCTTCCCACATTAATTAAAGTCTTCTTTTCAATAGATAGTTTATTTCTGGTGAAATACTTAAGCTACATCTAATTTCCCAGTCATTTTTAAGTATAGTTTTTGGGCGATAAAGGTATTTAAGAACTATTGTGCCTTTTGCACTGATTTTTGTAATAGGGAAAAAGAAGCTAGTATTTTATTCACAGTATTTTATTCAAATACTAAGTTTTTCTACTACTGGTCAAAGACAATCCCAGAAGAGATTTGTAGAGAGAAAAAATAATCTATTCATCCTCCTCTCTACCATTTGACACAGTTCTTCAGGGTAGAAGTAATCATTTTAGTAACTTTGTCTATCGGGTAGGTTAAATCTCTTATCTTATATGTAATTACCGTATTTTTCGGACCATAAGACGCACTTTTTCCCCCCCAGAAGTGAGGGGGAAAAGTCCCTGCATCTTATGGTCCAAATATAGCCTACACATATACTTTTTAAAAAAAGTTTTTTTACTTGCCCGGCTCTGTGTGGTCTCTGTGTGCTTGCCCGGCTCTAAAATGGTTCTAAATGCTGCTGTTTACTTTACTGGGTTGATTACATGTGTTTATGACTGTGATGTTGGGTTTTAATGCACATAAAATATTTTAGGACACTATTTGTTTCAGAATCTTTTTTTCTTCATTTCCCTTCTCTAAAAACTGATGCGTCTTATGGTCCGAAAAATACGGTAATATTTAGGTTATAGTTTTAAAATCATTAGTTGCTTAGTTATTGCCCTGAATTAGTGTGAAGTTGAGATAGAAAAGAAGTACCCTCCTACTTAAACCCATGTCAGTGTTTCCTTATCTTTGGACACATAAGATTTGAAGGCAAAGAAATGTGGCCTTGGAGAAATCTGGGACCAGTTTGCTCCCTGCAGGCTCAAGATCAACCATCCCACGTAGAAGAAAAAGAAAAGAAAAAAGAGCCTGACGGGTGTGTCTCAATGGTTGAGCATAGACCCATGAACCAGGAGGTCACAGCTCGATTCCAGGTCAAGGCACAAACCCGGATTGCGGGGTTGATCCCCAGTGTGGTTTGTGCAGGAGGCAGCCAATCAATGATTCTCTCTCATCATTGATGTTTCTATCTCTCTGTCCTTCTCCCTTCCTCTCTGAAATCAATAAAAATAAATATATATATGTATATAAAAAGCAACATAAACATGACAAGATTTAAGTTAATTTAAAAATAAATGGAGGGGGGAAAGAGTTCTAATCAGTGGGCATAAAGTCTCAGTCAAGCCAGATGAATAAGTTCTAGAGATCTTCTGTACAACATTGTCGTATTATTAATGATACTACATTATTTTAAAGGCAAAATAATGTTAGAAATTTAAGCTTTCTACTTTTCATAGTGTCCTGCTTCTATTATGTGTTTGTATGCTACCATATAAGAAGTTTCACTGAAGTTGTATTTCTTCCTCAGGTGCAGTTGGTGAATAATCGGTTTAAAGGAGTCAAGTATTTCCGTCTGAATACTCTAGCCTCCCTGGGTTATGTGGTGGTTGTGATAGACAACAGGGGATCCTGCCACCGAGGGCTTAAATTTGAAGGCGCCTTTAAATATAAAATGGTGTGTGAACATACAAACGTTTTTCTTTCAAAGACACATTTTCTGGTGCATTGTTTGGTGTGAAATCCCAGAGAGAGAGTCGGGGTAGGGGCTGTGAGTGAATGAGAGAGCGTGTGTGTTGGAGTTTGGGGGTGGGAGGGAAGAGGCCTCTTGATATTGACTAGGCTAGCTCGTGTGTACTTGTATATGATTTTGGGGAGCTGAGATGGAACCACCTTCTCAGAGAAGTAGCCTCTCTTTTTTGTATGTCCAGCTTAGCCAGGAGGCAGCACCGTTTAGCTTTCAGCATCCTGAACACTATTGAGAGGAATAATTGAGATTTGTTCTGTCCTCTGTGAAGAGAGAAACCAACTGGTTAGTGCCTTCCTTGTGACAAGCCTCTTTCTCTCTACAGGAAGCTTTAAATGCTACCTTTTAGAGATGCCCCATGTCCTTTCTGCTGCTTTGGGAAATGATGAGAATCCGATGTTCCTTTTGCACAGTAAGGCAGTTACTGTGTTTGCCAGTGTATTGGACATGCTGAGTAAGACATGGGGATTTTCTCCCACAGCCAGTTCTTTGACCTTATGTTGTATTCTCATGTAAGTTTTTTGTTTTTATTTTTGTTTTTTTGCTCAGTGAAGTGAGATTGTGTGCACTGGCAGGCCTAGTAATACGGACAGGGTGGTAGTAGTAGGAATTAAGACTTCATAGGACTTTAAAGAAATGGTATGTTCAGTTCTTAGAGGTATACTGTGGGGAAATAGGAGGATAAGGCCTCAAGTGATTCCTTCAACTCTACTGCATTACATTTTAAAGGAGAAGTGAAATTAGTCAACCACTTAAGGCGGCTAATTTTTTATCTTTGGGTATGGGAAGGCTTGTTACAAGGAAGATGCTGACTCTTAGCAGACAACAGAACAAATAGAATGGGAAATACCCACATGGTAAGGGACAGTTTGGGTTGCAATAGGAAAGAAATTTATGACTCAGGGATAGCTAAACTCTAGAACAGACTAGCAACAGCAACTATAGGCTCCTATCTCTACAGGTTTTAAAAAAGTTTTTTTGGCAATAAATTCTAATCTTAAACTACAGGTATTTTTAATAACTTTTTTTTTTAGCTTCAAAAGCACTCTTATAATGAGACTTTTACTCATTAATCAGTGAAATGGTCTCTCTTTTTTGACAGGGACAAATAGAAATTGATGACCAGGTGGAAGGACTCCAGTATCTAGCTTCTCGATATGATTTCATTGATTTAGATCGTGTTGGCATCCATGGCTGGTCCTATGGAGGATACCTCTCCCTGATGGCATTAATCCAGAGATCAGATATCTTCAGGGTATGTGACTTCCTCACGCACATGTTTTGGTAGTAAGGATAGAATTTTCGGTAAATTGAAAAATGATGATTTTTCTGAAGTTTTACAGGGTTGGCATTATTATGGAATGTTAGTGTTTCTGTGTTTTTGTTTTTGTTTTTATCTGTTTGTTTTGCTTTTTAATCCTTACCTAAGGATTTTTACCCCCATTGATTTCTGGAAAGAGTGGAAGGGAGGAAGGAGGGGGAAAGAGGAGAAAAACGTGGACATGAGAGAGACACATTGATTGGTTGCCTCTCCTACATGCCGCTACTGTAATGTGACCAGACATCCCGCTTTTGGCGGGACAGTTCCGATTTTTAGGAATTTGTTCCGGGTCCCAAGACATTTTGAAAATATCCAAAAGATTTAAAAGAATCTTTCCAAAAATCAGGACTATTTAAAACGCTGCGGGATGCGGGACAAATTGTTAAAAATTGGAACTGTCCCGCCAAAAGCGGGACATCAGGTCACCTTACGCTACTGGGACTAGGGAACCTGCAACCAAAGTACGTGAACTTGACCAGACATTGAACCTTTGACTCTCTATTCCTCAGGCTGATGCTGTAACCACTAAGAAAATTGGCCGGAGCGGTTTTTGTGTTTTAATATAATGTGAGATAATAGAAATATTTGTCAACCTGTGTATCCATATAAGCTGTATATTTACATGTTATCTACTTTTTAAAAAACCATTTGTTGCCCTAGCCAGTTTGGTTCAGTGGGTAGAGCGTCATCCTGCAGACTGAAGGGTCCCAGGATCAATTCTGGTGAAGGGCACATGTCCAGGTTACACACTCAATCCCCAGTGTGGGGCGTGTAGGAGGCAGCTGATCGATGATTCTTTCTCATCATTGATGTTTCTGTCTCTCTCTTTTTCCCTTCACTTCTGAAATCAATAACAATATATTTCAAGAAAAAAGATGCTAACAGTTGTTAAGGGAGTGGGAATTATGAGTACTGGGGGTTTTTATATAGGGTAGGGCAAAAACTAAGTTTACAGTTATTCATATGAAAAATAAAATAATTATTAATCATATAAGAATAAACTGTTTTATGTATTCATAAGTATAAACCTACTTTTCTCAATCCTGTATTTCAATAACATGATTTTATTTAATAGTGAAAAATAATTTTCATTTTTAAGAATAAAAATGGCCCTGGCTGATGTTGCTATATGATTAGAGCATCTGCCCACTCATGGTCCCAGGTTTGATTCTGGTCAGGGGCATGTACCTTTGTTGCAGGCACGTCCCCAGTGGAAGGTGTGCAAGAGGCAGCTGATTGATATTTGTAACTCTCTATCCCTCTCCAACCAATAAAAAAAAAAGATTGTTTTTTTCTGAATAAAGCTGACACTTCTAGCACATTTTCCCCAGTGGCAGGAATGAGTTTATACTGAGGCATTCATATGTTCTGATTCAGTCCACCCTTTTAACAAACATGCTCATATTTCAACTAGCCCAGATTAGGGGTTTGGTATACAGCGTGTCTATAGAACAAAACGTGACTCATAAAGTATCTAGTTCTTCACCTTGGCACTCCACTTTGGTTTTTTGAGTGGCCTGAGACCATGTAGCTCCAGTAGTGGATATATTAGCCTATTAATTTGCAATTACAAACCTCTTTGCTAACCGTTCTTTTATGGACCACACTTGCTTATCATTATTGTCTTATGCAGGTTGCTATTGCTGGAGCCCCAGTCACTCTGTGGATCTTCTATGATACAGGCTACACAGAACGTTACATGGGTCACCCTGACCAGAATGAACAGGGCTATTACTTAGGATCTGTGGCCATGCAAGCAGAAAAGTTTCCCTCTGAGTAAGTTCAAGCTTTTAAATTAAGATTATAAATTTAAAATTGTATTTAATAGTAATGAAAACTACAGATACTGTAACCAAGACTAATATTTTATAGAATACTAAAAGGCAGGGGTGATTCTCAAAGCTGAATAATACGCAATTTCTTATCATTTGTGTGTGGGTTTTTTTTTTTTACAATTTATATTTGAAGCAATTTGCTTGTGCTATAAAAGAAGTTTAAGTGCACTACTATTTAAGGTGGAAAATTTTTTATTTCTGCATTATTTTTCAAATAATGTTTATAATTTTTCATTTTCTGGGGACATGCCATTATTATTGACTAGATGCCTGGTGCACGAATTTGTGCACCAGTGGGGTCCCTTGGCCTGACCTGCAGGATCAGGCCAAAACTGGCTCTCCAACATCCCTCAAGAGGTCCTAAGAGAGGGCACAGGCCAGGCCGAGGGACCCCATCCATGCAGTCAGGGCTGGTGAGGGATGCAGGAAGTTGGCCAGTAGGGGAGGGTCCGCAGGAGGGCTCCAGGGTTTATCTGGCCCGGCCTGTCTTGCTTAGTCCTGATTGGCTGGACCCCAGCAGCAAGCTAACCCACTAGTCAAAGCATCTGCCCTCTGGTGGTCAGTGCATATCATAGCAACTGGTTGACCAATGTACTCTCTGCCCCCTCATGGTCAGTGCATGTCATAGCGAGCAATTGAGCTGCCTTAGCATATAATTAGCATATTGTGCTTTGATTGGTTGAACTGGACACTTAGAGCATATTAGACTTTTATTATATAGGATGTGTGCTAATATCTTAATAGGAATTGTACAATGTTCTTTTTATTGTTTAAATATTTAATACATATAGCATCTGGTTAATGTTTTACAAATATATTAATGTTGAAAATGTTGAATCCTTGTTCTAATATCTATATTGATAAAGAGCTAATATGATAATGGTCGGTACATAGTTAACAGGTAATGCCAATGTCATTAGCATATTAGTTGGGTGTTGCTCCAGAGATGGGGTGGAAGCGGGGAGGCGCCGGAGGAGGCGGGACCATCCCGTGCTGGGGAGGGTGAGGTGAGAGCCTATAGTGCCCCCCTCACCAGTTCTTTGCCACCCACCGCTCGCACTCTGAGTGCCCCATGGCCCACTTGCCAGGGGAAGGAGCACAGGGA